ATTTACAAAAAAAAAGAAAAGGAAAAAAAACCCACGATAGTTTAATTTTCTTGGTGATTTTCCCATCTATAATTCTGTGCCATGTAAGTATCTTTTCCTCTCCCATTTTTATGGCTTCAAAAGTACCACTATCTAAACATGTTGTCCTATATTTTTGAGATTTTAAATCAAGTTATGTAATCCAACACTTGTGAAGATAGTACGTCCTTCTCTCTTTTGGTTATCTGGATTCAGTGTCTCTACTTTTCTATCTTTAAATTATTCTGTCAACTCTAAAGATATGCATTTTTCTTGTTTTTTCTTTATTTTATATTTTTCAGTCAAATTCATACAAGCTATGTAACTTGATGAGGTCTATGGTTTATAAACATGACTAAGTGTCTAGGTAGATAGTTTAGTTTCATTTTTCCTATATATTGTTCACCATCGTTTGGGTTTTAACACTAGTATTTTGTATGGTTCGTGCATTGACAATTAAATTTTATAATTTCTTTTAAATATTTATTATTGCCTTATGTGTGAAATATTATGTCCTTAATGCAGAAAGAGAAAGGTGTCATTATTGAGAAGAATTTTTGGTGTGATTTTTTTCATTTTCACAAAGAAAAAGTTATTATCTGGTGACTCATCTCTCTAAAGACCATTTCAACAGGGAAAATTGTTTCACGTGGGCTGACAACATTTCTACATATGCGAGAAAGTGTAAAGCATCTATCTTAAAGATGCAAGTAGGTGTTCCATCTAAAAACAATAGATGAAAACTAAAGGTCCAAATGTTTTATTACTAGAATTATTATTTCTAGTTTTAAAAATTTACTTATTTTTTCATATTCATGATCTATATCTTAGAAATTACATGTCCTTAGAAATTAAGTCCAAAAATCCATTTCAAAAATAGATTTATCAATAAGCCCACATTTTTTCGTATGCGGACTTGGCTGTATAGAATCCAAGACCAAAAGTTATTAAATTAAATCCAAAAATCCATCTCAAAAATAGATTTATTAATAAGCCAACATTTCTTCGTATGCAGGCTTGGCCCATAGAAACCAGGCCCAAAAGTTATTGCCTAGTGGCTCTATCTGTATAAAAGACCATTTCCACAAAGAGAACAATTATTGCCTAGTGGCTTTCTCACCAAAAGACCAGACTTAAGGAATTGAAAGCCTACGTCTTTCTACATGGAATGTATCTCACGGTGAACTTGGGAAATGAGAAAGATCTCTCTTTTCTCTCTCATAAAACAATATTTCGAGAGACGAGAGAGAAAAGAGTTTAAAAACAATAGAAATTAACGATGCAAACGTTTTTTACTAAAATTATTATTTCTAATTTTTAAATTTATTTATTTATTTATTTATATTCATGATCTCCATGAGAAATATTGATCCCAGTAATGGGACTTTCATTGATGCAGACAGACCGATCAAGAAATTATTGCCCGAACCCACTACTAGGCAAAACAAAATTCCAAGTTCAAGTTCTAAAAATAAATTTTAAAAAAACTTACAGGGATTAATCTGAGCGATTCCAAATTGGGGCAAAGTAAGGATGTCACTAGTGTGATGTTGTGGCCCAAGAAAAAGCTTTGGGTTTTCTCACGCTTTAAGTACTTGTCTTTTCTCTGATTAGGTTCCTCTCTCTCTCCATTATTCAGAAAACAACTGAAATGCGCCATTTCCTGCAAAATGAGAAATTTCATTGTACTCTCTTCCCCTTATAAATATCAGGAGAATACCTCCTCAATCATTCCAAGTTGAAGTGGATCACTGCATCATAAATCATGGCCTACTGCAGTTTTACATTCATTACATCTTCCATTGTCTCCCCTCTCCCACTGCTGATGTTGTTATTTTTCACTACCTGTCTGAATTCCTCTGCTTATTCTTTGCCATTGTGCCATGAGGATGAGAGGTTGGTCCTTTTAGAATTCAAAGCTTCTCTCATCCACCCAAATGACACCTCGAAAGGGGTCGAATATTTTGAGTCATGGAAGGGGCTCAACTGTTGCCTTTGGAACGGAGTGGAGTGCCATACCACCACTTCTCATGTCGTGAGTCTGCATTTATCTACCGTTCAAGGGTAAGCCGACTTCGACATAGTGCCTCTGAATGCCACTTCCTTAGCTCGACTGCATCAGCTGAGCCATTTAGGTTTGGGTTACAACAATTTAGGTGGCCAGCTACCCTTGAAAGGTAGAGTCATGGGTGTACTTTAGATTTATTTGTAGGAGAGCTGAATTGGATAATTTACATTCACCTCTATAGAAATACAAAAAATTCTTGTCATTGACTTAGTTCATGTTTTTTTTATGCTTCTTGTGATTGCAGAGCTATCGAGATTAAGGAACTTGAAGGATTTACATTTACATTTACATTTTGAGGGGTCAATTCCTAAGGAGGTAGGCCTACTTTCTTCACTTGAATTACCGACCTTGGGTGACAATATGCTCCATGGAAGCATACCCTCAGCTTTGGGAACCTTGCAGCATCTTAAGCAACTCAATTTGAATAATAACCAACTTAATGGGAGCATCCCTCCATCTTTGTGCACCCTGCCATTTCTGGAGAACCTTGAACTGAATGATAGTGAATCGGAAGGAACCATACCCTCTTGTTTAGGCAACTTCACCCACATTCATCAACTATCGCTAAATGGCAATGAACTTGTAGGCAGCATACCTCCAACACTCGGCAACCTCTCTGCTCTTCAATGCCTTAGCCTCATCTTTAATCACTTAGGGGGTTCCATCCCCCAGGAGCTCGGCCGTCTTCATTCGTTGGAATCATTGTATCGCATTGATAATGATTTATTGGGTAATTTCTCATTCTCCACCTTCTCAAACCTATCTAAACTCACAGAGTCTCCCTTTCTGATAACACTAACCTGACCATCTTGCCGTCGAATGACACTCATTCTTTCCAACTTAAGATCCTCGAAATGCATTCATGCGATATGAGCAAGTTTGACATAAGTATTCCTAGCTTCCTCTCCACACAAAAAAGATTAGATGATGTTGATTTCTCCAACAGCAACATTCAAGGGCCTATTCCCCCTTGGTTACTTCAATCTATGAAAGGACTACGTTTGAGTGGGAATTTTTTCTCGGGACCCCTTATTTTACCGAACATGCCCTCTATCCTTGAGCATTTGAATATCTCAGACAATAAACTCAGTGGGGAACTTCTCCATTTGTTTTCCAAGTCTCAAGATATTGAAAATCTCGAACAATTCTATTCATGGGAGCATTGCTGATTATATCAACGACCTCAAGCTATTGGACATGTTAGATTTATCTACAAATAAGATAACCAGAAATTTGCCTTCCTCAACCTATCATTTTGAAAACTTGAACTTATCAAACAACAAAATCACTGGAAGACTACCTTGTAATCTAACTCGTGGATATCAACTAAAATATTTACGATTGTCTAACAACTACTTGGAGGGGCCTTTGGTATCTGAATATTTTAACATTTCCAGCTTGGAATCATTGCATCTTGATGGCAACATATTGAATGGAACCATTCCTGAGAATCTCTTATTGCGTAGTCGGTCTCTAGTGGCTCTAAATATTGCAAATAATAATATGTCCGGTGCTATTCCTACTGAATTAAATAAACTAACATATTTGGAACTATTGAACTTAAGAGGTAATCATTTTATGAGTGGAATTCCATTTAGTTTATGTCAACTGCAACAACTGGCTGTTCTGGATCTTGCTCAAAATAACCTTCATGGTCCCATACCACCTTGCTTTCATAATATTTGTGCATTATCCGGTGGGTTTAGAACTCATCGTGGTCAGTCAATTATTATTACTTTTGACAACAGATTTAACCTATCTATAGAAGAAGAGGCCAATTTTGCCAAAGGATAGATGTACAGTTTCATTAGGAATTCTCTTGTGTACATGACTGGGTTGGATTTTGTCTGGCAACAAGCTGAGTTGCCTAATTCCACCAGAAATTGGGCTATTGAAAGCACTCGAGATATTGAATCTCTCCAACAACCATCTAACTGGGCCAATTCCCAACTCCATTGGAGAGTTATCGAGCATCACAACTTTGGATCTTTCTCACAATGAGCTCTCTGGTCAAATACCTCCTCAGCTAGGAAAACTCACCTTTTTGTCCATCTTCTCCGTCGCAAATAACAGTCTCTAAGGTTGACCTTTTTGTCCATCTTCTCCATCGCAAATAACAGTCTCCCAGGTTGGATACCACGTGGGACCCAAGTTTGTACATTCAATGAGATTTCTTTCGGTGGGAACAACGAGTTACATTCTCTTCAAAAGGTGGGATGCTCCACCACCGTATCAGACAATGCTTCAAGTACATCAAATAACACAGAAGGCCGAGATGGAGAGTAAGGATGGTTGGATAGAACTCCAATATTTTATGCTTGTGTTGTTTTGGGCTATGCTATTGGTTTTTGAGGAGCTGTCATATTCCTCTTTGTAAAAAGGAGATGGGGACATGCTTGTGTAAGGGCCATGGATAGAATAATCATCCACATCATTCCTTCTCAGTACAAGCAAAAACTTGTATAATTCAAGCACTATTTGCACAAGAAAGTTCTCTCTCGTAGGGTTGATACCATTACATAGCTATGTTTTTCACAAAAGTGAATGAGCAATGAGATGTGAATGAAAGTTGAATCAATGTTAGGTAACATGTACTCAAAGATTTGGACATGCTTAAGGAAGATGAGAAAATATTTTCAAAATGTAAAAAATTGAAAAAAAAAAAGTAGATATTACTTTCTCGAGATATAATGTAGAAAAACAAAAAAAAAAACAAAAAATGAAAAGAAAGGACCGTAAAATATCTAAAGAAAACTAAATATTAGTCATTTGTAATTGATATTTTATGTCATCTAGTATAGCAATACATGTTTAGTATAAAATTATTG